ATGAAAAATTCCTAGGAAGGAGCTGAATAAAAGTGTGAAAGCTCATTAGGAGGCTGAGATAGGAGACTGTCATGTTCAAAGCTTGTGTGGGCCTCAGAATGAGCTCAGTGACCGCCTAAGTGCATTGTAAACCTTGGTTTACAAATAGGAACAGTATAGGGGAGCTTGGTAGACATGGGTGATTTTTCCCTGTATGTGTAACCCTGGAGAGGGCTCCTGTTTTCCCTTACTAAATTATAATCCTGGAGTAATGCTCAGAGGTGTGAAATTATTCATCTTTAAGATTCTGATGTTAATATCTCAGAGTTTCTTCAAAATAAGGTAGAGTGAGTTAGGGCAGGGCTGAGAAGGAAAGTAGGATTAGGCTGTATTGAATGAATTTTAAAGGAATTGAAGTTTCGCTCTTCATGGGTTGATGATGAAACCAAATAGAGTTTTCTGTTCATGTTGTACTCCAGAAGAGCTAGGACTTTTGTTGGGAAGGAAAGAGAGACCGAGCTCCAAATGGGTTTGGGAATCATACTGCTTTTCTTTGTAGACATTGCTCAAAAGCATTGTTCTAAAGAAAATGTTTTCTTTCTGTGTAGAAATGATTTATTGTCTCTTGGCCAGTCATTTGGACAAATAACAGATTAAAATTTTCCCATGTATTTCCTGAGCGTGGTATACACACCTACCATGGTGCATGTGTGAAGGTCAGGGGCAGCTTCCAGGATTTGGAGCTCTCTTTCCACCATGTGGAGTGTGGAGACTGACTCCACAGTAGGCTTTGTGGCAAGCATTTTACACAGTGAGTCATCTTGCCAACCCTGGTTTAAAACATGCTGTAGCTTCTAAGTTTTATTCTCTGTATTTAAAAAATATGTGTCTGGAAAAGTTGTTTTACAGATTTTCTAAGGGGTAGTTGTAAAATCAAGAACAAATTGTATCTCAATATAATATGCATTTTTTTTTTCTCTTTTAGGGAAAACATAAAACAGATAGTAAAACTTCTTGCAAGTGTTCGGGCTTTGGATCATGCTGTGTCTGTTGCAAGTGACCATAATGTGAAAGAACTTAAGTCTCTGATTGAAGGAAAATAGATCTATGAGACCAAAAAGTGTTTGCTTTGCTACCATTCCCAGTGTGTAAATTTTGTATATATGTAAAGTTTCTTAAACTGTAAGATACTGATTCTTGTTTTAATACAAAAACATTATATTAATACTGTGTCCTTAAATGTGATTTCTTCAGAATGAAAGGAATTCATATTGTTTCTAGGAGTCTATGAATGTTTTCCTTACTGCCTGTCATATTTTGTTTATGGAAGTATTTTGTATGGTCATTAAATTAACTTCGTTTAAGTGTCCTCTATAAATGATGTGTTCAGTGTAAATTGTGTAATTATGCATATATATGTGTGTATATTTATACCACCATGGATTTTTCACGCTGGGAAATTTTGGTGTTTTTCTACAGAGAAAGCTTTTTAACAGCAGAAAATTACCCAGTAACAATTGTCTTAGTGAAATACTGCACTGCTGCAACAGAAGGGCTGGCAGGGGATGGATCTTCACCCCCATTTTGGCTAGCGTTACTGTCACAGTAGCTGTGCTGCCTTAAAATGAGAGCCGAGTTACAGACTTTGTCGTTGAGTGAGTGTGGAACTTACGTGAATCAGCCTTGGAGGCAAATATGGGTTTAATATGAGCTCTAGGTAATATATGCAACAGAGTTTTAGGGTGGGACGCCACTTTAGTTCTTGACAATAAGCCCGAAAACTAACTGCATGGTTTGGCTGACTGTCCTCTCTCATTCATGGTTTTATTCCTTGCCCTGCTTACAGATACATGCATTTCTATAGTCTGTCATATTTTAAATCCCACAGATGTGAGTTATATATGCAATAAAGAACATGCCTTGCTGATTAGACGCCCCAGGCAGTTTACTGTCCGTGGTCTTATGTAATGTTTATACCACATTGTAAATACTCAGAGAAACTTGTTTTAAAGTTAATGCTTTCTGATTCTGTGATTTTTCAGAAGAGGAACTTTTTGGAAATTAAGGACTATCATTTGATATATATATATATATATGGTATTAAGCTTTAGCCCAGCATTAAATAACATTTTAAATAATTCTTTGTTGTATTTTGCTGCTGCCTAAGTTTAGAGCCTCTCAGATGATGCGTATGTGAGGCTGTGGACAGGCCAGTGTGTGCTTGCTTACAGTCTCATGCCCTCCTCCAGACATGCAGGAGCACGTCTCATCTCCACATACTCACTCTGGATAAGGTTTTTGATGCCGTTATCTCTTCAAGGGCTCCTAAGTGGAATTAAACTTCAGAACACTCATTCTCAATGTCAGTGGATTAAAACAAACACCCAAACACACACTGTATATAAATTGTGTTTCCAAGCCTATCACATAAATTGCTCTTATGTTTTGATAACTCTTAGAATAAACTCAGACTTTCTATGCTAACTTTTAGCAACAGGCTTTAACACTATCTTAGGATTCTGATGCGAGGTTAATGTAGCACAGAACTGCATTTAAAAAGTGGTCTTTGTGTCTAAACCAGAAGTTTTGTATTCCTGAGTAAAGAACACTAAAAATGGAATTCTCCAATTGCCATAACAGTGTCACATACTAGCTGAGTGTCAGCTATTCTTTTCAGTGCTTAAGGCCAGAAATTGGGAAGTGTCACCAGAACCATGTCTTATAATGGTTCTCAGCTCAACTCAAAAAGTTTCTAATGGCTTCTGATACTTACGGGCTTGTCATAATTTTCCAGGCTGCTGTTTGTCACATCATTTCATGAGTATCTGATTCACCTCTGCCTCCTTTGTAAGGGTCCCTGTAGTTTCATCTAGGTCTCTTGCATAACCACAAAAATCTACTGGATATTGGAAACTTTCTCAGACTCCTTCACCCAATCACTTACCATTTGCTGGACATTGAGTATTAGGGTGTGAGTACTGTGACAGGCTTTTGTCCCAAACCTCAGCATTGCTCTGTTTCAAAGTCAAGATGGCATTGGCTTTTTTGCAAAGCTTCGAATAATGTCTATACCACTGAAGTATTTTGAGTTAGCCTACCATAAAAATACTAGTTCACTTAAAAAAAAAAATGTATGCAGCTGTTTTGAAATTCTGTAACAAATAGGAAAGGGACAATAAAGAATGTTTAAAGGCCACTAGTATGTTTTTCAAGTCCTGAGCTTATTTTATAATCAAAAATTATTTTGAAAAGTCTTGGGGCCCCTGGGGAGGTGGCTCAAGAGCATTGACTGCTCTCACTTCCAAAGGTTCTGAGTTCAATTCCCAGCAACTATACAGTGGCTCACAACCAACTGGTAACCCTCTTCTGACTTGGAAAAGCTAAGATCTAACACTAGGAATGAATCCTGCTACTTTCAGTTTAATTTGAAAAACAAAACAAAACTGCAAAACAAGTTTGGACCTCCATTTCCTCAGTTCAAAATAACAAGAATAAGCAGGAGGCTTGCTTTATAAAGAGCCTAGTGACATGATTCCCACTTTGAGAAAGGGTTATAGTGTAGCCTCACAGAGAGATGAAAAGAATGATGGGATAAGTGAGTTTGAGAACAGCTCCACTTAATATATATTTCTGGTGTCATAAGAAGGTACGTCGTCTTTCAGGCTGGGGATGCCGTCAGTGTGTAGAATGCCTGCCTGGGATGCATGAAGGGGCTCAGTCCTGTCACATAAACCAAGCTTAGTGGCTAAAGTTACCTCCAACATACTGCAATTCATTAACCATCTCTCCTGAACCCTTTTTTGTTTTTGCATAAGGCATCACACTTAAGAAAAGTCCCATTATCACCCACTCTTAGTTTTGTTTTGTTTTTTCCCTTAAAGGACTGTCCCCAACTGAAATGGACACTCTTGGAAGAAAAATTACAAAAGTCCACTCAAGTATTTTAATTACTATTTTAAGCTTGTGGATACTGTAACCACAAAAAACAGTTGTTCTAAGAAAACTAAGTGAAAAGATAATCTGAACTGAACCCAAATGTATTTCTCCTTGACGAGAGGCAGCTTCTCTTCATGCTTAGTTTCCTTACTAATATTTTGAAACCAGGGTGGATTTGTCTTCTCTAAAATGTTGAGTCACATGGCAGAGCCTGTTAGAGGATATGGTTTTGTGATATGCATATTTAGATTGCGCTCTTAGAGAGAAAGTAAAAAGGGGAAGTGGCTAGGAAAAAGGCAAGTGGAAACACGAGTGCTGGGTTCTTCAGGTTTTCATTTCCTTTTTAAACTTCTATTGACTACAGTTTCCTCCCATTTTTGTCTCTTAAATAGAAGCAGAAAAATTCTGCTGGACATCATAGGCATGATGTGACGAGGAAAAAGGATAGTATGGAACGGTATGATGGCTTTAGTTATAAAATTCCACGGTTGGTAAATCGGTACATCACTAAGTGACAGCCATGTTTTGCTTAACTGCCTTGAGCTCCTGGTCCTGATTTTCCCACTCTCCACTGCATTCAGTTGAGCGTTCAACAGCCTCTGGAGCTCTCAGAACGCCCTAGCACTGTCTGCTAACAGTCTCCTGCTCCCTCTCTGACGCCAGACACCATGGACAGCTCTTCAGGCGCTACCGTGCCCGGGCGGGGTGTAGACAGCCCCCCGCCTTCCCCTCGCCGGTCGGGTCCGCGGAGGCGGCAGGGGGTGGTCCCGATGCCCGACTCAGGCACGAATCAACACGGGGGGGCCTCCGAGTGTTTTCCTGCAGTCCCTCCCTATCGCCCGCGGGAAGGGCTGAGCTAGAGGACTCCACGCGAGGAGGCCAGGCCCTCCTCGCTCTGCCGGCTTCCTGGCAGTGCGACCCATCCGCTCTGGGGTGACAGAGGATTCACGGACCCGGTCGCCGTGTGGCCACAAGACCCAAGTAACTAGCGGGCGCCCGGCCGGGCCGTGCGGCCCTCGCGTGGGCGGAAACAGCTCCGCCCCTTCACCCCAAGGGGCGGGTCTTCCGCCCCTGGCCTCGGCGCAATGCGGAAGAGCTGGGCCTGCTGGAGCGGAAGTGACGCTTCCGTAGGCTGTAGCAGCGGCTGCGGCTGCGGGAGAAGGAGGAGGAGGAGCCGGAGGAAGAGGTGAGGCAGCGGGCGGGGGGCGGGGAGCGGCTGCGGCTAGACCCAGCGGCAGCCGGCCGGGCGGGTGGACGCTCCTTGAGCGGTGGCTGCCGTCGTAGCCGGGTCGCAAGCGGTGAGAGTCGGCGGCGGGCCGAGGGCGGCGGGTTGTGAGGAGACCGTGGGGCGGCGGGTGGCTGTCGTGACAGCGGCTGTCAACCCGCGGGCGGGAAAGAAGCCAGTCAGCACTGGCTCCGGGGCAGCCCTTGAGGCGTATAATGGAGGCGCTGGACTGCTCGGTGCCTCCGTTTCCCCGACTACCCGGGTGCTCCTTGAATCGCGGTGGGATCCCCTCGTCACCGTGAGCTTCGTGGCTGGGCTGGAGGCGGCGGTCACCTGTGAGGCTTTCCCTGCCCTTCGCCGCCGCCCTGGAGAGTCTGCGGTGCGATAATCCCTTTCCTCCTCCGGCCCCCTCCGGAGCGTTGAACCTGTCTGGTTAACCTTCGCTCGCATCTCCTTGCCTTTTCCGCCTAAGGGTCGAAGTTTCCCCATCAGTTTTTTTCCAATAGTGACAAACCGTGAAGCAGGAAGCTGATAAACAACCCCAACTGAAAATACGCTCCAGATTTTTTCCTTTGGGTAAACAGAAATTAAATGGGAAATTCACCTTACCCAAACTAGGACCAGCAGTGCTAAAACCCTGCTTTGCCTTGCCCTATCTTGACAATTGGAAGCGTTTTGTTTTGGGTTTTTTGTTTGTTTGTTTTGTTTTGTGGCTTTTTCCTTTTGGCAAAAATTTGATGACGCCTTATCTTTTGGATAAAAGCGAGCTCGCCCGTGAGCTCTCTTTTACTTCACCCTCACCCCCCTCAAACTTGGCAGGGAGGGACCTCTGGATACCTAGCAGTCCTTGCAGCTGAAGGAAACCTCAGGTCCATTGGCTTGGTTTTCACAGGGCTGCCTCTGAAGAAAGAAGAATGGCGTTCAGCAAAGGATTTCGAATCTACCACAAATTGGATCCCCCACCGTTCAGCCTCATAGTGGAAACTAGGCACAAGGAAGAATGTCTCATGTTTGAGTCTGGGGCTGTGGCTGTGCTCTGTAAGTCACATGTTTTAACCTGGCGGGTTGTGATCTCTGTTTTGGTTTGTAACTCTCAAGTTCAACAGTTTATAAAAAAGAATTCTTAAAAGTCTTCTTACTGAATTTTATCTGATGGATTTTTGCTTTGACTTAATTTGGTTTTTTGTTGTTGTTGTTGTTTGTTTTGTTTTGTTTTGCAGGGGGGGATTGGTGGTGAAAGGAGGTTCGGATTTTGCGGATAGGATTTTGTTTTCCTTTCTGTTCTGCCTCTAGAAGTTTATCTTTTTTGTCTTATATTATCTTAATGTCTTATCACATTAACCCAGTAAGACAGCTTGCTTTACATCTCATGTAATAAACAGAATTTTGCAGGTCACATTTAACAGAAGTGATGATATCTGTTATAGGTTCTGTGTGTCTTACATCAAACCCTTAATTAACATTTCAGTGTGCCATGTACACATGCATGATATTGGTAGGTCAAATTCAGGGCTTCAGTAGTGCTAGGCAAGTGGTATACTAGCTACCTCTCCAGCCTAAGTTTTTATATTTTTAGGAAGAAGTGCAAACAGCTTCTAAAAACTTCATATAAGATATGTGATTGATTTCATATTATTTAAAAATAACTTTGAGTTAGAAGAAAAGGACCACTTATTTTACCACAAGAAAACTAATAAAGTTTGGATTAATTTGTGGCAGATGGATAAAAATAAAGACTAATTAACATTATGCTTCATTTTTTAACACATTTATTTGTGTGTGGGTGGGGGACATATGGAGGTCAGAGGACAGCTTATGGAAGTAGGTTCTTTCCTCCTATTTTATGGGCTCTATGGATAGAACTCAGGTCTTCAAGCTAGGTGGCAAATGCTTTTTATCTGTTGAGACATCAAATGTAGCTCATGAATCATTCTTAATATAAGACTGTAGCAGATAACCCCAGATTGGAGTTGTCTCAAGTGTGATTTTTCTAAAACAAAATTCTAGTATTAACAACATGTTCTTTACTGTTGTTTTTAACGTTTTGTTATAGCCAGAGCCTTTATGATCTTGCCAAAGCCGTTGAATTCCAGATCCCCCTGCTTCTCTTTCCGGGGTGCTGGGATGCAGATGGGCACTACTGTGCCAGGTTTACGCAGTGCTGAGGGTTGGTCAGGGCGTCATGCATGCTAGGCAAGCACTCTGCCAACTAAGCTCCATCCCTAACCCTCCTTATTATATTTGCTCAGATTATTTATTGATGATATTTTTCTAAACTAAATTTCTGTTTGAACTGGGGACACGCTCAGCTAATAAATTCTTTCCATGTAAGCATGAGGACCTGAGTGTGAACCCCAATACCCAGGCATGGCATTACATGCCTGTAATCCCAGTACTGGGGAAGCAGAGACAGAAAGCTCTCTGGAGCTTATTGTTCTGCTATTCTAGTCAAGTTTTTAGGCTCTGGGCTTGGCAAAAGAGTCTTTCTCAAAATAATATGGAGAACAATAAAGGAAGATACCTGATATCAACCTCCGGCCTCCATGTACACGCACATACACACAGACACACATGTATACACACAATAATGTTTGAAAAGCATATCTACTAATATAAGCCTTAAATACTTTAAATATCACTCTTTCTTTAGACTCACTAAGAGCATAAGATGGAAGCCTATGAATATATGATTTTTTTGTTGCTTCAAATGTAAACTGACTAAAATAGTAACATTTTATCCTGATAGGGAAAATGTAAGGGCATAATGAACAACTCTTAAGCAAAGATCAGTATATAATACATATTTTTGGTGTTTACAGTAACATAGTTTAAAGGGAGAGACAAGGGGCTAGATACATCCCAAGAAAAAGGTTTAAGTTATATTCAGTATGAACTTCATTGTTCCAAATTGGTTTTTAATGTTTTAATAAAATGAAAAATCAGTACTCCATTATTAGTCTATATAGCCTATATTTTCATGTTATAGATGTACTTACAGTAGTGAATATTGAAATAAAATCATGAGATTGGGGAGGTTTGGTTAGTATTGTGAAATGTTTTTCATCTGCTTGTGTTTTGGTTGATATCTGATTTATTAATGTTGTCTAAATTCCAGTATATTTTTAAATTGTGATTACTCACAATTTTATTGGGAAGTCACTGTGGTCCTTACAAATTATGAATTCACCTGTAGTTTTCAGAGTTATTGTTGTCTGTTAAGGTTAAAAAAACCTAAGAATAATCATACTTCTAAAAACTCCAGTGGTTATCTTTTATGCTAAATAATAGTTTTTAAGAAGCTCCAAAACATCTATTTGGGACATTAATTCTGAAGTAGGATAGTATTATAATATTATCTTAACAATATAGATTTCTTTTCAATGCTGGGATTTGGACCTAGGCACTACATGTTAAGCAGGAGTCTGCCACCAGGTTACACCCCTAGCTTAATTGTTTCTTAATTTTGTTTGTCTCCATTGGATTTAAACTGTGTAAGCTCAGAGGACACATAAGTTTGAATACTGCTTTTCTCTGTAAAACTAACATGAATGGATACATACTCTCTTGGATGTGTTATCCTTTCTGTAAGCTTTGTTAGCAACACTTAAATATGTTTTGATTTGACTTTTTAATCGATACATAGAGACATAAAAACTACACATGTCACAGCTACATAATGTTCCAACACATTCACACATTATATAATGTTGAAATAGGGTTGGACATTTGCCATTTATGGTGAACACATGCAAAACCTTTTATTATAGTTCCTCAGAATATACAGAACAGTGTTACCTGTAGGTATCTTACTGTGCAGTAGTAAAATATTAATCTTTAAGAGCCAACTTTTTAGGTAAATTGATTTATAAAATTAGTCAGGTGCTAGTGTTGTATTGTATATCTGTAACCCTAGCACTCAGGAGGCAGAAGCAGAAAGATCAGGTATTTCAAGCTGTCCTGGGCTACATAGTAATAGCCTGTCACATACCCACACACACCAAAAAGACTAATTTGACATTTGGTTTAGAGTGATACCAAGATAGGTGTTGTCCTGTATAACAAAGCAACCTGCAGATTTCAAATGCTGCGTTCAGGGACAGTCTAGAAGATCTGAGTGTGTCCTCTCCACCCTCACTGTTCCCAACCTGTGAATGTCAGGGTATCCTGCCTGTCACTCTGCAGGAAATGTTCTCTGGTCATTTTTTTCACTACGTTAAAGTGTGGCCCTGTCTTCTTAAGATACAATTCAAACTCTGAAGTCGTCTGTTTTTCAAGGTCTTCTTTAATCTTACTCTGCTCTTTCTGTTCAGGGGTGATCTCCTTTGAACACTGGTGTCTTTTCAGTGTTTTCCCAAAGTAAGTAGGAATTGATCAGTCTTCATTATGTTCTTGTTAGACTTGTAATGACTTAATCAGTCATTAATGTTTTGGGCTCTTTGTTGTTATAGGTTTTCTCCTGACAGTGTCTCTTATAGCTTAGCCTAATCTCAGACTTGCTGTGTAGCTAAAGATGACCTTGACCCCATGATCCTCCTAAGTGCTAAGCAAGTGTGTCCTAGTCTGAGACAGTGTTTTTCTGTGCCCAGGCTGCATAATATAACAAAATAACATCTGGAAAGACGTTACAAATACTGGTACCTGGGCTCCTGCTCTTCAAAGATTCCCATAGTTACATCAGAATGATCATTTCTGAGCAAAACTTACATGTGCCTTGCTATGATTGATTTTCTTCTTAGCCTATAGATTTTATATAAAATAACAATGTTTCAGAATTTTAATGTTGTGATTATGGAGTAATCATTTTTTTGAAGGCCTTAGGCTAAACCAAAAGATATTTCTCCCATGACAATTTAAGTACAGTGCTTTTATACCACATGGAACTGTATGCATGGTTTTTTAAGGTTTGTATCTCTAATGCTTAGAACAGTATTTTACTCACTACTGAGGAACACGTAGTATTAAGTGATTGACATTATGGGAAAGACTAATTTACGTTAGAAAGTTGGTAGACTCAAAGTTGTCTGTTTGAAAATATAGTATTTTTGGCTGAGGAGATGGCTTGGTGGATAAAGTATTTGCTGAGCAACCACAGGACTTAAGTTTGGACTCCAACACCCACTTAAAATTCAGGCTGGCTATGAGGTGAAGAGAGGCAGTTCGCAGGGGCTAACTGGTTAGGTGGCCAGCTGAAATAGTGAGCTCAAGGCTCTGAGAGATCCCACTACGGTGGGGAGCCATAGAGGAACATACCTGACACATCAACCTCTGACTTTCATATGCACATACATAGGCAAGTGCACATGTGCGCGCGCGCACACAGACATGCATGCACACATGCACATGGATGTTTAGTATGGAATTTTTGGCATTGATGGGAATTGAACCTGGGGTTCACACATCGTAGGCAAACACTGTGCTACTGAACTAAGCTATATTCCTTGCCCAATTTAATTTTTAGTTGGCACATAATGACTTGTATGGTTTTATGGAGTACAATGTGTATTTCTATATACACATATAGTGGGTTATGATTAAATCAAGGTAATTCAGTATATTCATGACCTCAAACGTTTATTGTTTTTGAGCCATTCAAAATCCTCTTATAGTCATTTTAAAATATACGTTATTGTTGGCTGTAGTTAACCTGATGTGTAAATAGAGCAGCAGAACTCATTCCTCCTAAGAATTAACTCTTTATCCACAGTTGAATTCTCTCCACGTCCCATCCTGCATCACTCCCAAATATCATCCTAGTCTGTTCTTCTTGACACTGGCTTCTCTTAGAGTCCACGAATGAATGAGAATGCCATCCAGTGTTAGCCTTGTTTTCTTGCCTATTCCCTTCACGTTGTGTTCTCTAGGCCCTTCCACGCTGCACCTATTCGTGGCAAACGGCATTCCATTGTGTATACATGCACATACCACAGACTGCCTGTTGTTGTTTTCTGTGAAATTTACTTTTTGAATTTTAGAGAATTGCACTAGGTGTGATTGTAAATGCCTATGGTTTCTGCCTACTTGAAAGGTTAAGCTGGAAA